AAGCAGCTAGTTGTTAAAAGATTTGTTTCATTTCTGCAAACATTGTCTCATGACTTAGCATCACTCGCTGAGCTGACCTGAACTATGCAGCTCTTCACAACTCGGCTGATGTCTTCTCTCCACTCAGACACCCTGGGGTTCAGCTCGTCCAGATTAGATGAAAAGGCCAAAGCATGCGACCGGAAATAATCTGAAAGGATGTAAGTAATTAAAAGAATTCACTAAATCAGCCACTTTGAGGTCTGCAGACTAAGACAAATGCTGGATTTGTTTTGGTCTAAAAATTATTTGAGTTCGATAACAAACGTCTAAACTCTGAACTTTATACTCTGAAACAGATTTAAGAGTCATCTTAATTTAAATTAAATAACAATTTTCTTTTTATTTAGCTTGGTGGTTCATTTTTAACCACTGGATTGAATATAATTTCTGTAAAAAATAAAACACAGACAGACAGATCATTAGAAGAAAGACTATTCACAAAACATTCGTGTTTATTATGATTGATCTAAAATTATTTGAAGTTTGACAGAGAAACCCTGACTTCTAACTAATGAAATGCAAACTTTTTTCCCACATATAATGTATGATTGAGTTGTAGTGCTTTTATCCCAGAAGAACGGCAGTTTTACATAATGTAAATAATCTGGATTATTTTTCCTTTTGTGCAGATTCTTCACTGTTTAACTTTAACTGTTTTAACTAAATTGCCATCTAGAGGCCCAGGACTCTTCCTGGAACAGAAGTTTTACTGATCACCACAAGATGGAGACAAGACCCAAGTGTGACTCTGTCCTGATCAACTTGGATCAGGATCACTGTTCCCCTTGTTAGTACAGGCTGTAGCTGACAACTACTGTTTATCGTGTATTTGTAAGGGTTTTAATGTAAAACAATTGCATAACTTGACATTTATCTCAATTATTTGTACATAAAACTATTTTACTAATTAGCTCCAGCATAGCTGGCTAATGTATCAGCTAAACAAGTCAGTAAATTCAGCAGATTTGTGCTAACAGACTTTTTTTTAAATGCTGGTGTCTTTTTTTTTCAGTTGCAAAACCTCCTCGTGAAAGCAGCAGTTTATCTTCAGCAAGTGACCACAGTACGACCACAGTACAAGTGAGATAAAGGTGCGAAGTGAAAGCTAACCATCCCTTTATTCCTTAGAAAATCTGCCTGAAAGCGACAAAAATCCAGCCAAGCAATTCTTACTTTTCTTTATCAAGGCCAAAAATGTTTCAGGACATTTACTGACCCACTTCTAGTTTGAGACTAAAACGTTTGTTTAAACCGAATGTGACTGTGCACAAGGAAAATGTAAAAGGCATATACCATAAACTGCTAAGGTGATTTGGTCCTGATGGACTGTATTACCAGCGGACGCCTGAACAGTGACAGTGTGATTTCCCTCTTTGGAGAATGCGAAGGTGATCACTCCATCAAGGGTCACAACAGGCTGAAAACACAAAGATTTAAATGTTTGTTACCTATTGGACCTTTAAAAAAAAGGACTAAATGGGTGACAACAAGAAAAACGGGCTTACGTCAGTTTTATTATCAAACCACCAGAAATAAGAGACTGTTCCCACATTACTGGGATGCAACATAGTTGTGAAATTTACTGCTTTGTTCTTGACAACCACCAGAGGAGCTGAAAGTTGTACCTGCTCCAGTTGACCTTTAGAGAGAAAACACATGAAGTGTGAAGTTACACCTTTTACTAACACACTGCTAATATGAATGCCTCCATGCTGCCCAAATATTCAGCAAATCTAATCTTTGTATTATTATTCTTTTATTCATACCAGCACAAAACTGACTGCACAAAACTGACTGAGTACACTACTAGAAAAGAAGCAATCATGGTCTCTCTCTCTCTCTCTCTCTCTCTCTCTCTCTATCTCTCTCTCTCTCTCTCTCTCTCTCTCTCTCTCCCTCTCTCTCTCTCTCTCTCTCTCTCTCTCTCTCTCTCTCTCTCTCTCTCTCTCTCTCTCTCTCTCTGTGTGTGTGTGTACCCGTCTTACATCAAAGTGAGGACCAATGATGAGCATGTTACCTGCAAACTGAGGACATTTACCATTAGTACCAAAGTGAGGGCATTCTACGGGTCCTCATTTTGGTTCATTGTGACAGACCTCTACTCATTAGTTTTAGAGGTATGGTGTGAATTACGTTTTAGTTAAGGTTAGGGTTAGGAGTAGACTGGTTAGGGTTAGGCGCAACCCAGACACTAAAATGAATGGAAGTCAGTGACGGTCCTCACAACAAATGCTAAACGAGAATGTGTGTGTGATAGGTATTTTTTCTGTACTTTTTAACAAAATGTCTTTCTAGACAGATTTTAATGAAACTGAGAAAGTACTTCTCAGATGTACATCTGCAACTGATAAACATTTGGAGGAAACATAATTCAAGATGACTGATGGAGCTTATCAAGCTTAGAAAAACAGAAAAAGAAACTACAACTGTCAATTTTGGCAGACTTTGAGCTAAAACATTGGGGCTGACCCTCAGCTACCACACCACAACATACCTCGTATGGATGACAACTGGTACAAAAGCTTTGTCTAAAACTCAACTTTTGGGGTCATCACCATTCAAGACAATTACAGCTAATTGAATTGCTTTCAATTAATCAGTTTTACACATATTGAGCTAAAATTTCATATAATAGTAATATGTGATCCAATGGGGTTCAAATTAAGGCAACTGGACTTCTTTACTTTCTTGAAGACATTTCGCTTTTCATCCGAGGAGCTTTGTCAATTCTGACAGGAATTTGGGAGAGTCAAGTTTATAAGCTGTAGCTGTCTGTTGTTGAAGCTGCCTATGAATACCCCTCCTTCTACCTCCTGAGGAGTCGTTGGAGTCATTATGCTGTGTTGTGCGGGAATGGTTGTTTTGATTAGATGCAGAGGGCGTGGTCTGGACTGAAACTGTTTTGGAATTAGGTTTAATGCTACATTGTAGGTGGTGGAAAGGTGAAACCTGAGTCCCCTTCCTCTGTTTAAAGTAGGTTTTTCCCATTTGACATAAATAACTTCCTTTACTCCTCTCTCAAACCATCTGTCTTCTCTGTCCAGATCGTGTACTTTGTCTTCAAAAGTGTGTCCCTTGTCCTTCAGGTGTAAGTGAACTGCAGAGTCTTGACCTGAAGAGGAGGCTCTCCTGTGTTGTGCTATACACTTGTGTAATTGTTGTTGTCTTTTGGATGGACGAGTTTCTGTCTGAGGGTGTTTTTGGGTTTAAATTTACTGGGATATTGTGTTTGGAGAAAATTCTTCTCAGCTTCTGCCACGTATGAGATGATGGTACTGTTTCCTGTAGACTTCAATGCTGAGACTTCCAGCTTCCTGTTCAATTTGCACAGCACAGTTCGAGAAGGAAAGTTTATTGTTGTGGGCATCTTCCCTGTTGAATTTGATGGTCTTGTCCACGGTGTTAATGTGCCTGGTGAAGCCTTCCACATATATTCAAGTCAGAATTGACAAAGCTCTTCAGATGAGAAGCAAAACGTCTTCAAGAAACCAGAGAAGTCCAGTTGCCTTAATTCGAACCCCTTTGGATTACCATGACCTGGATGACTGAGAACCTTCCCCAGCATACTCGGATTGCTCACGGATCATGTGAGATCTTGCTTGAGTTTGTCTAAAATAAATCAGTTTCAGATGATTTCAGTTTCTGGTTTCTGAAATTAATCATGGCAGGGAGATATGCATTCCTTCAAAGAACACATGATCTTTAATTTAAATCATTTGTAAAATTGTCACTTTTGAAATCCATTTTAATGAGCTGATTTCCTCTAATTTCCCTCTGGGATTAATAAAGTATCTTTGATTTGAACTGAATTAAAACAGACTCGTCTATGGTAATGAACAATTTACTTCAGCTGTATTTCACACAGACACATAATGAATGGATTAGGGCTTTGAATAGGATTTGCTTGGAAAAGCCAGTGAAATGGTACAAAACTGTACTTTATAAAAATCTCAAAATGATTATCATTACTATTTATTTACATTTATTACTCCAGGTCTCCTTCAAAAAACAGAGTAAAGGCTAAATTAATGGGTTTTATCTCTCAGCACATTTAGAAGTCTGACAAATTAATCTTTTATTGAGACACTATAGATGGTGTAGACAAGGGTTGGGGAACCCTGGTCCATCGAGGTCCGCTATCCAGCATATTTTAGTTTCAACCCTTCATCATCACACCTGATTTCAATCAGCAGGTAATTAACAGGCTTCTGCAGAGCTGATGAGCTGCTGAACAGGTGAATCAACCACTGAATCAGAAGTGTTGGAGCAAAGACATGCAGGATACCAGCCCTCGAGGACCAGGGTTCCCCACTCCTGGTGTAGACTATGTGTTGAATCCGTCCTTCATAAATCTGCATGCTTTAGCAACAAACTGTAAAAGGCTGAAGACTTTCTTTGGACTCACAGGACACATGGAGGTAGAGGACGACCCTGTCAAAGCCAAGACTGTTGGTAGCCATGGCTGAGACTTGATAGATTCCAACTTTACTGTAGATATGCTTCACCCCGTCATCAATGGAGCTAACATTACCATATGATATAGCCGTTCCATCGCCGAAGTCCACTGTTACACTAGTCATGGAGCCAAGACCCTTGAAATGAAGGAAAATAACATTATTCACACAAGAAAATGTCAGTTGTTTCTAATGTCCTCACTGACTCATAACAAAGTGCACTTTCCATAAAAGCAGCAAGAACAAGGTTATCTTGTAAATCACATCAGTGCATATTTATGTGAAACGTCTGCACTTAGGTCACTGTGTTTAGTTTGTGACAGGATCTTGATATACAGTGCACTAAATAAAAACATGCAGCCGGGAAAGTATGACTCTTTAGGCGTACAGTGACAGCTGCTGTTTAAAGCAAAGTGGAAAGGTGGAGTTTAGTAACATGCTATGAAGAACAAGGTTTAAAAATAAGCTCTTAAAATCTTCACATCTGTTGAATTTTGAGTACAAAAATTCTTTCAGCAATGTTGCCTTTTAGAAGAAACACCCTCAAACTCACTTCCATGTATTTTAGAGCTGATTTTTATGGCCTGTAATTGTATACGGTAAATGGCCTGCATTTGTATAGCGCCTCCTTAGGGGTCTTCAAGCCCCTGGATAGACTCACAAACTGGGTGGGACTATCAGGCACAGTGCTTGGCTGGTTCCAATCCTATCTCAAAGACGGGCTATGTTGTCTCTATTAGGGACTACCAATCAAACCGGATCACCATGACGTGGGGTACCCCAAGGCTCAATTCTAGGACCACTACTCTTTAATCTCAATATGCTCCCCCTGGGTCAGATCATTCTTAATAACATCATAGCCTATCATAGCTATGCTGAGGACACCCAGATCTACCTAACCCTATCACCTAGTGACTGCCGTCCACTGGACTCAAGTAAACGGCTGGATGCAGTCAAACTTCCTTCAACTAAACAAAGACAAGACTGAAGTTACTGTCTTTGGCAACAAGAGGGATAGAATGGATGTTATTGCTCAGCTAGACTCCAGGGGAATAAAGACAAAAACCCAGATTAGAAATCTTGATGTTATTATTGACTCAGACCTGAGCTTCTCTGGACATATTAAGGCTATAACTAAATCAGCGTTTTATCACCTTCATCAATTATCAAGAGTCAGAGGTCCCATGATCAGACCAGACTTAGAGAAACTTATTTATGCTTTTATTTCTAGTCGGTTGGACTATTGCAATGGTCTCCTAACTGGTATTTCCAAAAAAGCTGTGAAGCAACTGCAGCTTGTTCAGAATGCTGCTGCTAGAGTCTTAACAAGAACCAAGAGAATGGAGCACATCACTCCTGTTCTTAGATCTCTACACTGGTTACCAGTAAACTACAGAATAGATTTTAAAGTGCTCCTACTAGTTTATAAATCAATCAATGGCATGGGACCAAAATACATGTCCAATCTCATTCCTGTATATTTACCCCAATAGGGCTCTGAGATCCCTTGGAAACAATCAGCTGGTAGAACCACGGGTCAGAAGAAAACATGGTGAAGATGCATTTAGTTACTATGCTGCTCACAAATGGAATCAGCTTCCCCATGACCTCAGATGTGCCCCAATCCTAGAGTTGTTTAAAACAAAACTTAAAACCCTAATGTCCTCATCAGCCTTTAAATGAATTGTTTCTTATAATCTGTTGTCTCCACTGTAATCTGGACTGTGCCTTTGTCTTCTTTAGCTCTAAACTGTAATTCCATTAGTGTGTATTTTAATTTGTTTCATGTTGTTTTCATATCATGTCCTGATAATTGTAAAGCACATTGAATTGCCTCTGTGTTTGAAATGCCCTCTATAAATAAAGCTGCCTTGCCTTGCCCAAAGTGCTCCACAACACAATCAGTCACCGGTCCCTCCGACCACCACCAGCAGGCAAGGTGGGTTCAGTGTCTTGCCCAAGGACATAACAGTAGCATTCTCCTTCTGATTACTGGACAACCCGCTCTACCTTCTGAGCGACTGCTGTTTAAGGTTATATGTTACAAAGCCGCTAATATTTTTCAACAGCTGGGCATCATTTAGTTCATTTTCATCAACATTTCGACGGATATTTCCAAAGAATAACAGAAAGAAAAAAAAAACACATTGTCACTTTAGGTCCTGTTAAAACCATTTTATGCTTGCTGAAATCATTAAAATAATAGAAACAATGCACCTATTTTATCATCTTGTTCATCATTTTTTAGATATCCTGTAAAAAAAAAATCTGAATATTCTGCCATGACTGTCAGTATGTTCTCATTATTTCTTCTTCTTGCATTTTAAATGAATTAAAAGGAGTGAAGAAAGTCTGCCCGGATACTTTCTGCTTCCTGCAGCAGTTTATTTTTTACTTTTCTCATTCTTGTATCAGGCACAAAATTTAAGACGTTTTTCTTTTCTTGGCAAAAAGTGGCACATGATCAGCAGGGAATTGCTTAATGCAAACCTTTAAAAAACTGTGTGAATTATTTAAAAACTCTCCCCCTAAAATTTTGGGACGTGAAAGCAGAACTGCTATAAATAACACATCTAAGAGGACTAGATTTTAAATCGGCTTCTAGTTTGTTAACCCTCTCAGGCTCAAAATAAGTTTTGATAAAAGAATGAACAGCTTTGTCCTTCAGGGGTACTTCTGAGTTTAAAAATGCTCATGAAATACGTATGTGGAGTAACCAGGTAGGTAGCTTTTAACGTTGCAATTCTGCAACGCCTGCCTCCAGAGGGTTAATTTGTCAGTGAGCCGCCTGTTTATTTTCTGTACATCAAAACATAAACAGGTTTTTTTAATGTGGTTTACGTGAGTTTTTCCCAAGTCAGCATTAACTACTGTACTCATTTGATTTCATACAGAACTTTGATACCAGTACATGGGTGAAAATCCAGTAATCCGCTATTTATTGCTTTCTGTCTCGCAATTCCAGGACTTTCTGTTCACTAACAGATGATTAACCTGACTGACGTTTATTAGAAATGTGCAGGTTGCATCTGAGTAAAATGACATTTCTGAGACCCATGTTGGCCACATTTTGGTAAAACATTGATATGCATCTTGGTGGCATATTGTCACACTAAGAGATGAGCTTGCAGAAATTTATTATGGAGACTGAATGATGAAAACCTGAGGCAAAAAGTCATATTTTATAGATTATATTATTTTACACACATTTTTTTTTCCTTTTTTTAATGATCTGAAGTCCCTTTATCAGACTGGAGCACTCTTTCTTCATTTAACTGAATATTTCACCTCTTCCAGAAAGACCAAGAAAGTGACATTCTTCCCCACTGTTGCTACAAGTGTTCCCTCGCTGGTGAAGAGCTGAAGACCCCTGGGAGCCTGGCTGGGACAGTTTTGTTGCCTGGGGCTGTACTTCAGCAGACTTCCCTCAGAGCAGTTGTTAGACAAAGCCTTGTGATATCTGGGGTTGAATTAACAAAAGACACAGATGAGTGCTGCATGCAAAAGCAGTTTTACGTGAGACAAAATCAGAAGAAGCTTTTGAATTGTATAAAAATAATCTTTTTCATGCAGTGATTTTTTTAATTAAGCTTTGTCTCCTTGCAGTAAAAATAAGCCTCAGGAATTTGACACTTACCTTTATTTAATTTGTTCGCATACAGTCATACCTGAGATGTGCAACACATGTCAAAACTATTGAGACAGAAGCTATTTAAACTGCTGACCCATAATAAATAGGGTTTTCCTACTGTTGGATAATTCAATCATCCTTCTCAAATAAACAATTTAAGTGTTGCTATGGTAGAGTATATAATGCACTGTAACAATGATATGTTATATAAATATGTGAAATTTGATCCTTCAGACCAACGCGAACTCTTGGTTTTTTTAATAGCTGATAAAATAACATGGGCAGAAAGTCAGTTTGGGACTTTTTCTGTGAAAATGTTGCTAGAAACACAACCAGTCAAAAAACTGGTCAAAAGTGAAACAAATAAACTATGACATATTTCAATTTATCATTTTACAGCACACATACAGATGTTTAGTGGGCATTGGAGTCGAAAATATTAAAACGCATTCAGATTTGTGAAGGTGTGCTTGGTTGAACTTAGTAAAATTTATAAAAGTCCCAATATAATTTCCAGGAACAAGTTGGGATCCCACATGAGATTTTTCATTGGATGGTATCAAATTGGTGTAGTGATACTCAGCTCCCCATCTCTAATGTAGACTTGAGGATTTACATCAGCCATGCTGAGCTGAGAAGAAGAAAATAAAACATTTTCAGCTGGGGCTGGGCTCGTTACTGCTGGTGATGCATTATATAGAACAACACAGGGGAGATGATACGATATATGGCCACACTAAAAACTACAATATATTTGCAACGTTTAAGACTTTATTGGAAAACTCTTGCCAGATGCTGCCAAGACAAATCCAGTGTTATCACATTTTTCTGTCAGAATGAAGGCGGTAAAAAACTGCTGCCACCTAGCAGTTGGAGTTTGAATTACAGCATGATGAACGTTTGCATGTAAATTCCCATTAAATAATCCATAAACTGTGTTTAATTATTGATTCATTATCATAAAATGGAATATAAATATGTTCTTACATAGTTATCTGCCTGTTGGATCTCTCTGCTGCATTTGTGGATCATGGCATTCTGAGAAAAAGATTACAGGAAGTTGTCGGCCTCTCTGGAGTGGTTTCAAACTGGCTTTCATCTTATATTTTTGGCAGAAGTTTTAATGTTTCCATAAACCAGTTGCAGTCTGTACAAAAGCCTATCACCTGTGGGGTACCCCAGGGTTTGGTTCTGGGACCAGTCCTTTTTCTTTTATATTTTCTCCCCCTCAGGCAGATTCTCAGTAAGTATGCTATGCTGATGACATTCAACTGTATTGTTCCATGGGTTGGAATGAGCTCCTTAAATTATCTGCACTAATCACCTGCTTGTCTGAATTCAAGCAATAGTTAAATGAAAAATACTTGAGACCAGACATGGAAATCCCTGGTATAAAGCTTCACCTAGGTTTCTTATCCTCTTTTGTTCAACCCTGTGAACGGGCCATAGGTGTCACATTTGATTCTGCAATGTTTTTCGAACAGCATTGTAATCAACTAATTAAAAACAGCTTTTTTCATCTCCAGAACATCTCTAAATTAAAACCTTTAACTTCTAAGTCCAATCTGGAAATGGTCATTCATGCATTGATTCATCTTACCTGGACTATTGCAGCAGTCTCTTAGCTGGTCTAAATCTCAAAAAGGTTTACAACTAGTGCAAAATTCTGCTGCAAGACTGTTATCTTGAGTTCATAAACAATCCCACATTATTCCTGTCCTATCCTGGCCTCACTTCTCTAGCTTCCTATACATTTTAGAGTTCTTTTTAAAAACCTGTTCTTAACTTTTAAAGTCTTAAGCCGGGTGTACACTGTGCGACTATTTCACTTTTTTGAGCCGATTTTCCACTCGTGCGAGAATCCACAAGATCGGGGCAAGTTTTGCGCTGAGCGTTGTGTAGTATACATGGAATTATGAGAGGCGATTAACACCATGTGATCAGCTACTGATCAGCAATCGTGAGCTCGCATGTACTTCTGGAGTGTTTGATATTTTGCTCATTCCTCTTGAGGGTTGAAGCGGTGCAGCGAGCGGCTGCGACACAAAAAGTACCAGAACCGCTCACGGCGCATGCGCAATCATGCATCAACACTGCTCGCCCGCTATTTCCCTAATAACACACGTTGTTCGTTTTTATTCCTACATTTTTTTACACACAATGACAAGGATTGTCAAGAAAGCGTGTTTGTCGTGTTCATGTCAAATTAAACTGATCACAAAACACAGATTTACTTTCTTTATTTCGTTTTCCTCATCCAAACCCCATAAATCCCTGTGTGTCCTCCTGCAGCACTCCCGAAGGACAACAGGCAAAACAAGACAAAAAAGTCTGACGTGATGTGTAAAAACGGCTATTTTTAGCATATTTTTAAGGTCCGACGTGTTGCTACCAGACGTACAGTGTGAGCAGTCAGGTTGCATCCGAGAACTGGGTCATACAGTGTGAGCGCATGACTCGTGAGATCTGCCCTGCGAGGAAGTTGTACAGTTTGAGCTGAAGCTGAGTGCTACGAGTGAAAAAGTCGCACAGTGTCCGCCCAGCTTTACATAGTCAAGCTCCTTCATATTTTACACTCCCAAACGTTGCCTGAGATCAGAAGGTCAGATGCTCTTGGTGGTCCCAAAATCCCACCTAAAGTCCTGTTTTGATCGCGGCATTAAAGCTTCTTTCTGGAGTACTTCTCTTATCGGGTGGCACCATCTAGTGGCTGACAAGCATAACAAACAAAAACTCTGTTTCTCTGTTTTTTTAAGATGGCGACTTCACATTTCTGTTTATAAATGTGCTTTTGTAGCCGACAAACAGATCTAAAACACGCTGTTTTACGAGTATTATTCTCATGTCATGCTGTGTTCTCATATATTTATATTTTAGAGACTTACTTGTCCGTGAAAAATTCATCAACTCTGCATCAGCCGAGGCATTCCTTAAATTTGAAGCACGTAAGGGGTAGTCTAACGCTATTGGTTAGTTCTGGTTGGCGCTCGGTTTCCTATTGCACGGAGCTCTGCAGGGCAGGGTGCGTGGTTAGCAAAATAAAAAAGACGTATCGCTTACATTTTATCACAGTACGTGATAAAAAAATCGCTTTTACGGATTTCTGACAAATCATACATAATTTCTGAAAGGAGAAACCTCCGGAAAGCAGCTTTAAGGCTACGGCTCCAAGGCTGTGGAACACTCTTCCGCTCTCTCTTTGCTGCGTTAATTCATTTAAAAAATGTGGCTTTTTAAACTTGCTTTTACTTAACTTTTTTGTGTTATTATCATGTTTGTTCATATTCTTGTATTTGATTCTGTTTTATTGTGAAGCACCATTGGTTTTTTTCTGTGTAAGGTGTTATACAAATCAGGGCTGGCCCAAGCCGGGTCCCTAAACAGGTTTCCCTGAATGGCCCCCATATCAACAAGTCAATACCAGATAATTCATCATTCCTAAGCTGCACCATTTGTGTAACATTTCCACCATCATTAGCATCTTTTGCAATTAGCTTACATCAAACTCGTGTTATTGTGGTTATTGATTTTAACATTCCCAGAGCAGCAAACCAACAACAATGCTTTAATTAATTATCATTTTGAAATGAAGAGTGTCATTTAAGTGTGGTATATGAATTCAGCTATTTGAAACATCAGCAGGCAAATGCTCATTTAACAGTAAAAAAGTTAGGTTTACTCTGTGCTTAAAATGACAGTACTACAAAATAAAACCAAATTATACTACAGAAAATAATACAGATACATAGTTTTTTTAATGTGAAATTTTATTTAGTTGGTATTATTTAAATGTATTAAAACATTTTTTTACTCATGTCATCTTGGTGCTCTTGGGGGCTCCCTGTTGATGTGGGGGCTCAAAGAAGTTGCTTAGGTTGCATATGCCTTGGGCCGGCTCTGATACAAATAAAAATGGCGTACTCATCCCTAGTGGATAGAGCTACAGTTATTGTTTTTTCTGTTTAAAATCTCATTGGCATTTTAAATCTGTCTAATATCTGTCACCAGAGGTTGTTTATAGATCCTGGTCAAGTGTAACCCCTAGCACTGTTAATAATTTGACACCTGTTTGTGGGAATATTGAGGGAAAACCCCTGAGATGTGTGAAAATATACTGTCTTTGTGGACAGTGATGCTCAACCAAATTTACAAACACTGATCTTAAAAATCCTACATTTATAGCATTTAGTCAGCAAACGTGTGTTCAAAAGAAAAGGAAAGTGGAGCAAATATTGAAACTTGATACAGGCAGTTAAGCTTAAATTCTATTAAATCCATCCATCCATCCTCTTACACTTATCCGGGATCGGGTCGCGGAGGCAGCAGCCTAAGCAGGGAGACCCAGACTTCCCTCTCCCCAGCCACTTGGGCCAGCTCCTCCAGTAGAATCCCAAGGCGTCCCCTGGCTAGCTGAGAGACATAGTCCCTCCAGCGTGCCCTTGGTCTTCCTTTGGGTCACCTCCCAGTTGGATGTGCGCTGAGAATCTTACCAGGGAGGTGTCATGCATCCTTACTAGCTCAACTGGCTCCACTCAATGTGGAAGAGCAGCAGGTCTACTCTGGCCCCTCCCAGATGACCAAGCTTCTCGCCCTATCTCTAAGGGAGAGCCTAGACATCCAGCAGAGAAAACACTTTTAGCCGCTTGTATCTATGATCTCGTTCTTTCGGTCACTACCCAAAGCTCGTGACCATAGGTGAGGGTTGGAACGTAGATCAACGGGTAAATTGAGAGCTTTGCCTTCCGGTTCAGCTCTCTCTTCACCATGACAGATCAGTATAACGCTCACATCCTTGCAAATGCAGCACCAATCCGCCTATGGATCTCCTCGATCTTCCATTAAATTTTGATCAATAAAGCTCTACTGAAAATATATATTGAGATGTAAAAAGCTCAGCTATGCTCTTCATCATAAAACACAGGATGTACAATTACAAATTTATTTCCTTTTATTGCATTTACTTTTTAAAATTTTGATTCTATTCAGAAAAATATGGGTTGAAACCACACTATGTCACTATGTGACAGTATAAATAAATTAAACGTACCCCGTTGTGTTGAGGAAGCTGTCCCCCGTTAGGCAGTCTCGAGATGTTGCTGATGGCGTGAACCAAAAAGCTGGTGTGCAGCTCCCATCAATTTGCCTCTCAAACCCATAGTCACTGTTTCAGCCAAGGAAGCATTACCAAGATGAGTTATCATTTATCCTCAAACTTCAAATGGAAATATTCAGTCAAGACAGAATCAATAAGTGCAGAGCCAGAAATACTCCAGGTTAGAGGAAAGATCCCACACAACAGCAGCTTTTGATGTTTTATGTATCAAACATCTGAAGCAGAGAAATCATTGTTTGTGTTTACACACATTATAATCATGCCCTGTTAAAACGCTTTCAGATATGTCATGTTTCTTTCATAAAGATCAGGGAGACACGACCGCAGGAGAAGGGAAATGCTAAGCAACAGGGTGCTGTTCGGCTCTGCAGTACTGTTGGTGTTCAGTCAGCACCAGAGAGATGAAAAATAAATAAAAGTGCTTCATTCTTACACAGTAAAATACAAGTGTTGTTTTATTTTGAAGGAGTTTCTGTTTTAAGTCCATAAATATGTAAGAGAAAACAATTGAAATCTTACATATGCTGCCTAAAACCTTTCGTGCTTCACACACTGTCTCTGTAGACTGATAAAGTGTTAAGCATTTGATTTAATGAAGTGAAAGAGTGTAGCTCTGGAGAAGGGAACTCACCACTCAAAATCAGCCTCTGTGCACGGGCAGGAGTCTGACATCTGAGAAATATACTGATCCCGAGCCTTGACACATCGAGCGTTTGCTCTCAGTTTTTGGAAGATTCGCTTCATTCCCATGATGCACACTTCACCCTGTGATAAATAATGCATCAAAAACATATCAGCTCTTTTTTATTTTGCCATCTCGCATTTATTGTGTAACCAAATCAAAGCAATTCTTTGAGCTTAATCAGTGGCTGGGAGAGTCCACAGTGCTGTGTCAGGGATGGAGAGGCTGGCTTTAAGATTGTTATCCTTGTACTGAGCAGAAAAGAATGAATCTACATCCAAAATCCTCCAAAACTATTTTATCTTCTCAGCTTTTTTCCCATAATTGTAAATAAGAGGTTAAGAAATTTTACCACTGTCAAGACACAGTTGTTGAAATTTTAAATATTTCCAATAGAAATGCATTTAATAGTTTGACTGAATGTTTTTCTTTAAATTGGAATCTTCATTGTGTGTAAAGTATTAGCTTCACATTTCTACTGAAGCAAATGTCACTGTGAGATCTTAAAAGCGTCTCTCTTCAATATCATATGATATTTTTGTACCTTTGTAATAAACTCCTTCCATTTGTTCTGTGAAAAGGTATTTACCGTTTTGCAGATTTCCTGTGTTCGTCACACTTAAAATTTTTTGCTTCATCATCGGTAGCAACAAGTGTCAGTGACGACGCTTGACTGCACTTGAGTCTCACGAATCGATGTAGAGGGATCTTGTCCTGCTCTTATTTGCATAGAAGTTTTTATAGAACCACACTATAAGGTTTTCCAGCATGAATCTGCTCTTTGGGGTAAAGGCATTCAGGATTTTTAGTACAAAGCAGAAAAACAACAGACCATCACACTACCCCCAATATACTTGATTGTTAGTATGATTTTCTTTTTCCTGCAGTGCTTTTTTTTTTTAGCAGATGTAACATCATTTTTAACAATATTTTTTCAAATGTTCTAGGGATTTTTTATTGTTTTCATCTGAGTCAGGTCTTTGTGTTCTTAATGGTCTGCAGATTTTTCTGATTTTGAAACCCACACACGATGTCCTTTTTGCCCAGTCTGTGTATTATTTGTTGATTTATGAACTTTGACTTTGACCAACTGAGGCCTGTAGAACTTTGGCTGTTGTTCTGGGCTCTTTAGTTTGTGAACGGTGCATGATGTAGTATTAGATCTCAAAGTTAGGTAGTCAGAATAGGTTCTATTTCCTAATTCTACTGGTCTGAATGTAAATGAACTTGGCTCTCCTATTTGTGTGACTGATTACAATTAACTTGTGGTTTAATAAAAGGGTAATTACTTTTGTCATGCAGTTTTATAAATAATTTTCTTATTTAGTAAAATTGACATTTAAAATTTTTACTTTGTTTTTACTCTGGCTGTCGTTGTCTGATATTGTTGCATTCAGGCTAAAATCTCACATTTTCCTAACTTTGTGTCTTTTTACATGATTTTCATGCTTACACATTATTTAGTTTTATTGGGGGAAGCTTTCGCAAAAAGAGCTAGTGATCGTTGACCCTGCAGATTATGGTTTATGTAAAAGTAAGATGTTTTTTTTTTATTTTTTTTCCCTCCCTGGACAGTTTCTTTTTTTGGACTTATCAAAAATTTTCCAGACATAAATTATTTTTTAACATTTAAATGAGACATAAAAGCAAACCCAGCAGAAAGGAGGAAACCCTGTTTTTTCGTAGTACTGAATGCAACACCCTTGGTCAAAGATGGGTTAAAATATGACGTTTTGGTATAGCTGAATGGGTAACAAAACTTGAGCTAGGTAAGCTAATCGAGGCAAGCTGAGGTTTCGGGGCTTTGATTGTCCACTGTGGCCTAAGATCTGTGAGGTTGCTGCAGTGGAGGGGAGGTTAAGGTTTCTCTTCCTTCTGCAGTGGGCATCCTGCGCTCAGAGATCCACGAAACTGCCACTCTAGCTTCACAGAGGCAGCCGAGCGAGGTTAGCTCCCGGCTTCTCCCATCTCCTGGCCAGGTACAGCTGCTAGACTGAGGCAGCAGGCTGCTCCCATCTTTTGAGGCTCTCCCGAGACCACAGAAACACTGTACCTCTTTGAGCTGATGCGTGCTTCACAACCAAGTTTTTCTGGCTAAGAGCGCCCAAAAACCTCAGTTAGCTTCCATGTCGCTTTGGTTAGCTTGTTGTAGCTACATTCATTCAGTTTATGGGTGTCAACCATTTGCTCCCATCCTCAGAGCACCACCTATTTTCCCATTTTTGGATTGCCTGGGCGTGACGAGACATGTGACATGGCTAAGATGGCGGTAGTGGGAACTTTCCATTTTGTGGCATTTTAGACATTAAGAAAGAAGTGGGCAGGTTATGTCCAGCTTTATCAATGTATGTCTACGGGATCAGTGCCAGAAAATTCTAGATGACAACTGAAAACGAGTCATACACAGTACGTTCATAATTACATAAATACATTTCACTGTAATATCGAGTTATTGATAATTAAAGGTGCAATATTTAAAAATATAGTGAGAATTTTACAGTGATAAAATCCCAAAAGAGTCTAATGTTTCAATCATTTTGGAGGGACGGTTACACTGAAACATATTTCGTATCCAGCTGACTGTGGGCATTGTTAGTTTTTCTCCTTTCAAAACAAAGGAAGGAGGGACGTAACTAATGTTTACCATCAGTGAGTGTGGGGTTGCCATGTCTCTTGCGAGCTAATACTGCAGCGCCGACTATTGTATTTTGACGACGGCCGGCAAAAAGCTCCAGAATTGTTTAAAGTGGTTGCAGTAACCAGATTTTACCACAGGATGTCTCTTTTACTTCATTTCTGCATAATGCACCTTCAAAAAAAGTAGCTTGAGATATTTTTACAGTTGATAGTTTCCTTCTAATTCACCGTTAGGATTGTTAGCTTAACATTAGCCTTTAGCCATCTTCACCCGAAATTAGAGTAAGAATGCTGTGGCCTTTTAGGGTACAAGAACTTACTTCTGGGTTGCTCCCGTTACTGGCTTCTATTCTTTTCACAACCCAGCTGCTCTTTGCTGGCTAGTATCAAATTACAAATGAGGGCACAGTCTTAGCAGCACCATGAGCCCAAATACGTATGATGGGCTCTGAAACCAGGAAGTATGCAGGTAGGACAGTTTGTAAACAATGACATCATCCTTTTTCTCCCTCATTAAAATCTCCCTTCTTGTTGAGAAATAAATGTGTTTCAATGTAAACTTCCTTCCAATGTGATTGACATGACATTAGACTATTTTGTGAATATTTCACTGTAAAATCCATACTTATTGCACCTTTAATGATCAGAAATACAGTTTTTACCTCATTGTGTAACTGCCAGGTGACATAGTCCTCAGATGTGCACTGGAGTTGGAAAATTGACCGGAAGTCAATCTTGACAAGTTGCCACTCAGATCGATGACTAAAATGTCCAAATATTCTGCATGATGGAGTCAGAAAACTGGGTCAAAATTTTTTTTTATAAAGTGTTATCATACGATTAGCCAGCGCACTAATTAACATATTGGAAACATCATCATCTTCTCATGATTCCCTCGTATCTTACGTCATTATGAGGATGTCCTCTCCAGGCTCCCCCAGCACCCCGTCAACATAGAGTGGAGAGGAGGTGAAGCTATACTTGTCCCAGTTTCTGCCCTCATCAAAACTCAGCCTGGGGGAGAGAGAGACCCACCACAAATGGAGCTAGATTCAGTAAGAAAAAGCCTTTGCAGCAATTCATCTCACTCCTTGTTTTGAAGATTGAGCACAGGCTCAGAAAGAGATGTAAGACATCCTTGGAGAGTCTTACCAAATGTGTCTAATTGGCAGAGGTGTGTGCCGGATGGCCACCAGAGATCCTCCTTGATTCAGGAAAAACACGCTGTACTCCTCCTGAAAAATCTGCACAGAGAGCCAGCTTTGTTTCAACTCGCCGGAGAAGATGTTTCTCAAGTCTGTGAAACTATGCGTAGGTGCCAGCTTAAGGAACACACATGCTCTGACCTCCGCAATGAATAAGCAAACAAGCACAACTGATAATTTCACAAGTTTCATATAGACAAAAAAAAAAGAAAGAAAGAAATTATTGCTTCTTTTTTTCTGGAGTCCTACGCCACCAGCAGAAATCTGTATGCTCCCTTTGTTTTGTTTGTTTTAAAGATCATGAATGCACAAGGCTAGCTGTCAATGTTCACTTCTCCACCCCGAAGGAAAAGTGACTGCAGGACCGACAGCTGAAAAGGGAGAAAAGAAAGCTGGCAGTGAATTTCTGAGATGAGCTATGTTTGCCCACTCTATTCAAATAAATCCTCTCCTAAGTCACATATATATGTATTTTCTTCACAAAAGATGCTCCCTGGGTTATTCTGAATAAAAGTTCAAGGGAAGAATGACGTTTACTGAATTGTTCTTTATGTTGTTGAATGAATGAAGCTGTTTTAAAAGAAGGGCAAGAGTTGAATTATAGAAAAGAACCTCTCAGGTCCAGAGCTTCAAAGATTTTACCCCTCTTTTTGTACCTCTCTCCATGTGTTTCCAGCATCAGATGTGATGAAGATGCTAACGTTGGAACTGGTCAGCTCAGATCCAACCACACCTAAACAAACAGAAAAAAGGCAGCATTTCAGCAGCAACTTCTCTTATTATTCTAAATGTCACTTGGACAGGTTTTACAGACAAAACTCCAGCTATTCTTAACATGGACCAGATGTGCAGTACGGGGAGAAGTCACACACCAGGAGCATCTGACTACCTGAGAGTGCTAGCAGATATGGTTTAGGTCATTATGGCAAAGAGTAAACAACTGAATGAATGTGCAGAGTCCCGTGCAAATCCAATCTCACCTGATGCTACAATAATTCCCGGAGCCGTGTCTTTGCTGATGATGTTTCCCGAGGCGTAAGGATTCTCCGAAACATGAAGGTGCAGATGCAGCGAACAGAACGGCTGCCAAACAACAAGGGGATTAACATGAGGGAGTCAAAATGTGGAAATAAAGAAAACAAAAACCGATACAGATCTGATCCAGTTTTAGAACATGGATGTTTTCGAAAAAGGAGGGCACAAATATTCAACGACTCACTTAAAAGAGGAGATGAAAAATAAGTGTATAAATGTGCACAGAAAACCAGCAAAAACACAAGATGCTTGTTATACATGTTCCTGTGAGAGTTTGTACATATACGGTAATAGTAAGATGACCTATAGCTTGTTAAAGAATCCAACAGCTGATGGGAAATGTCATCTGCCTTGGCCTGGTTATGAAAAGTGTACCTCCTCCCTGATGGCAAGAGACAAAAGTCTGAGTGCATGATTAATGTCTGCAAACCTGGCCTTTTGCTGTATTTTTTTTTTTGTTTTGTTTTGTTCTCCATCATATTTTAGACAAAAGCATTGCACTACAGTCTCAAATTCTACAACAGCAACTTGAGAAATGAGATAAAGTTAAACTAAAATACATTGTACTTCTGTTCTTATCCTCTTATCCAAAGGTGGGTTGCAGAAGCAAACTCTCCAGGTCTTTCTGGGGGATCTCAAGGTGTTTTCAGGCCATGAGAAAATGTATGATAGTGACTACTGGGTCTGACCTGAGGTCTCCATTAAGCTGCTTGTCCCAAGAAAATCTCCAAAGAAGGGCCAACAGTAGGCCCCTCAAACTTGTATTAAATTTGCCCAAATCAGCTTAACTGACTTCTAATGATGCAGAGGTGGCTCTAAATCTTTCTTAAATGTGAAACTCCTCGCTTAGCTCTAAGGTTTTGCCCAGCCACCCTACAAAGGAAGCTTTTTCAGCAGCTTGTATTTGAGACTTGATCATTTGGGTAAATATCAAAATCATGACCATAGGTCAGGGTTGGAACATGAAGCAGTAAAGAGATTTGCCTTTAAGCTCAGCTCCTTCTCTAACCAAATAAACCAGTCCTTTTCTTACTCCCTCCTACCATCACAGACAAAAACAATGATACCTAAATTCATCTTTTTGAGGTGAAAACCACTACTGAGCATCGAATAATATTTTGATCCAGAACGGTGTTCCCAGATTTGGAGGGAATTACTAATCTTGACCAAGCCCAAGTGCATAGTGAATGTCTTGGCTTGAAGATGCCAACTAAACCACATCAGCAATAAAAAGCAGACATAAGGCCCTCTGATTCCAAAACTAGACAGTCTCTTTCATGACTACTCCCTGGGATTGTGTCCTGCCCCAAGTGGAGGGGTTTAAGTATCTTGGGGTCTTGTTCACGAGTGAGGGAAAGATGAAGCATGAGATCGATAGACGATTGGTGCTGCATCTGCAGTGATGCGGGTTAGGGTTAGGGTCTGTCGTGGTGAAGAGAGAGCTGAGCCAGAAGGCAAAGCTCTCAATTTACCGGTCGATCTACGTTCCAATCCTCACCTATGGTCATGAGCTTTGGATAGTGACCGATAGAACGAGATCACGGATACAAGTGACCAAAATGAGTTTTCTCTGCAGGGTGTCTGGACTCTCTCTTAGAGATAGGGTGAGAAGCTCGTTCATCCGTTAGGGGCTTGGCTGCCCCTCCACATCGAGAGGAGCCAGTTGAGCTGGATGCAAAATTTGGAATTGTAGGATGTCCAAGGAAATGGTAAAAATGGCCTGTATTTGTATAGCACCTTCTTGGGGTTCTACAACCCCCCAAGGTGCTTCACAACACAATCAACCATTCACCCATTCACACACACACATGCACACACTGATGGGGATGAGCCACAGCTGGCCTGGGGTGCACTGACAAAAGCAAGGCTTGCCGAACACTGGCGCCACCGGTCACTCCGACCACCACCAGTAGGCAAGTTGGGTTAAGTGTCTTGCCCAAGGACACAACAGCAGCATTCCATGGTCGGAGCCACGATCAAACCTGCAACCTTCCAATTACTGGACAACCTGCTCTACCACCTGAGCTACCCACCCTTCTCACCTCTGATTGGCTAGAAGGGCTCTTCTATGATTGGTTATTTCATTTGGCAGCAAACTGTCTTTCCTCGCTAAGTACAAACTTTCCTCCTGCCACGAGCTGTTTTGCAAAGAAAATGCAAATGTAGTGCTACGATAACCATTTTGTCCTGTTTTGCAAACTTTTTTTTCCTGTTTCTTAAAAAAATACTGAAAAATGTAAAAAATGAACCTAAATCATTATCAGCTTTCAAATATTTTTTGATTAGATTGTACACATTTGAACAGATGATAATAGATGCGTCCTAACTTGCAAACAAACATAACCTATAAAAGCGAAGACGTAAGATAGCCTAATAAGTCAGTGTTAAGATAACTCCAATGCTTGAGAACCAACGGATATAAAGTCAAACCGTAACCCTAACCCACAAAACCCATCAAGATCTGGCTGCAGACATAAAAAAAAACCTGCATTTATTGAGGGAAGACGGTTATCTGCTTGATGAAAAAGCCAATCACAGGACAGCCCTTCCAGCCAACCAGAGGCAAGAAAGGCAGACATCAGACATCCAACAATTATAAATTTTGTGGCCTGGGAAACAAATCTCACAAGACCTCCTCAGCATTTCTGAATTTGTAAACACCGTTCTTTGACAAAAGCTCCTGAATCTGAAATTTGATTTTAAAATGGATTTAGAGTTTAAAGTGAGGCTAGGCAGTTTTGGCTTGCTTTTAGCACCCCCTAGTGTCCATTTGTAAAATCGAAAGCAAAACATCTCCTCGATGTGCGTCAGCTTTTTAACACCTCAATCTAACAGCTGAAATTTCTTCTCAGCTTTCATTTGTGTCTACAGGAGCGGTTCATCACTAAATTAAAACAAGTCAGGTGTGTTCATGATCTAAGACATGTAGGAAACATGCTGAAACCAGACTGCTGTGCCACGTAGCTCCATTTTAAGCCCAACAGACCGGACGGGCACTCTGAAGCTGCAAGTGTAATATTCTGGCCACAGGGGGCGATATGGGGCTTGGTAGCCTTTCTTTACCCATGTAAAGGGTAATTTCAGCACACACTGACTCAAGAAAATTATTAAAATTTTTGAAAAAGTAGCAAAGTATCTCATTAATTTAAACATGCAGTTATTTTTTTAATTCTAACCACAGTTTTCTTGATTCCTTTAAAAATGCTAAAGCTTCAGTGTGTGAATGTAAATTTGTGGTACGTTAAAGGTGCATTATGTAGAAATGAAGTAAAAATGACATCCAGTGGTAAAATCTGGTTACTGCAGCCGCTTTAAACAACTCTGGAGCTTAATGTCGGCCGTCATCAAATTACAATAGTCAGCGCTGCAGTATTAGCTTGCAGGAGACACAGCAACCACACACTCACTGACAGTGTTGGGCAAGTTACTTCAAAACTGTAATGCATTATTTATTACTTGTTACCCTCATTTTAAAGTAATTCATTACATTACAACATTACAGATTTTAAAACGTAAGGGATTACACTACTTTTGCATTACTTTACGTTACTTTCACCAATACAACTTCAGTAAAGAATCTGGTAATCTTACGCTCGGTGAGCTCATGAAATATATGTGGAAGGTGATGTGGTGTCTGAGCTAGGATTGCTGTTAAAAACAGTCAGATATAATAACAGTGCTTTCAAATGATTGTTTATTAAATAAAAGCAACAACAATCTGTACTCTCAGCACGCTGCCATCTTATATTAACTGAGCAGGGCGTGAGATGGTGGGGGCTCCAAGCCTATATTTGTCTTGGTCCCCAAATGCCTTGATACGGCCCTGGATGTGGGACTGACTTCTGGGGTGATCTGATTCTATCACATGTATAAATATTAAATGCTTATATAGTATTGCTTTTCACTGGTAAAAATGTGTATTGGGGATAAATCTGCCTACTTTTTTTCTTTTCAAGCACTTTGTTTTGTTTTCTTGATTTTATTTGAATAATTTCTTGCCCTTTCTCTCTCTAACCTTCCTGCATGCTGCATGTTTTCTCCGTCTTCCAGAAAATCTGTTTCCTAGATTTCCTACTTTCTAACTAATCAGTTAAAGGGATCTACCGAACGCAAAAAATAAATAAATAAATAAAAAATAAAGCTTAATATGTGCTGCGCTCCAGCAGCAATGAGTTGAAATCACCGGGGCACAGATTATGAACTCAGCTGAAAAGTACATTAAGTACCAGAGAATATGGGCCGATATAAACGATCGCAAACGAATGACTTTGTTTTAGTGGAGCGATTTTGTGAATATTACAGCGGCCGCACAGAGGACACAGCTGGAGTATTTTAGCCATTACCACTGCGTCCTCTCTGCTCGTAGAATGCCCGCAAAGCTGAGTCCATAAATGACGTTATATATGTGGATACTGGATCTTTTTTCAGGCTTCCCGCAATTAGATTTTTAGTTAAACCCACATCTTGATTCTGGGTTTAAAAATGCATTGTATTACTGACAATTGTACCGAGTAAATATTACCATTTTCTTTCCCTGTAATGCCTTACATTACCACATTACAGCAAAAAGCAATGCATTACAGTAATTAATTACTTTTGTACAGCGTTACTCCCAACACTGCTCACTGATGGTAAATGGTAGTCACGTCCCTCCTTCTTTTATTTTGAAAGGAGAAAAACCGACAACCTCCACAGCCAGCTGGATATGAAACATGTTTGATTATATCCTTCCTTCCAAAATGACTGAAACATTAAACTCTTTGGGGATTTTCTCACTGTAAATATCTCACTAAAGTCCTACATACCTTTAAACTGGGTTGTATATGTTGAAAAATGTTTTACATCTGAGGACGAGTTGTATCGCTCAGCTAAATTACAGAGATGGTTGAAAAGGCCAAATACAACATTTTTTTTTAATTTAATTTGATTCCATTACATCACAGATCTAACACTTCATAATTGTCTCTGAGAGATGTTGTACTTTTACTTAACACAAACCAGATTAAAGTTAATAAAAAAACATATCCCCAGCTTTTTCAATTGCCTTTTTTACCTAACAAACTCCATTATCTCAGAAAAGAAGCTATTTTGTGCATCTCGGTATCTACGATGTAACTAGCCAATGCAAAGAGTGTAAATAGGATTCAGTGATTTAGCAGCAGATGAACATATTTTCTGCGATACTTGAAAATGATTTATATTAATGAGCAGGTTTGCAGATGGGACAGAAGGTATATTAAACTATATGACAGCCTGCTTCATTTTATAGCGCTGTGTTGCTGTGAAACTGATTTATTCACAGTCTTTAACCATGGATGCTGGCGCGCACGATGCAGCGTAGAACTTTTGAGAGCAGATAATGGAAATCCAAATAACTATATCTATCTCCTATCAGTGGCCCACTTACTTGTTCACAATAGACCTCGTTTCCCTGGAGATCGGTTGTTGGAGCCTGAAGAAGACGCCAGTCTCTGCCCTTGTTGTACGTGATATAAGTTTTCACTTGGTTCTCAACAACTTTATTTGACAGGAACACTCCTTTAATCCCGGCAACCTGCGCATGTGAGAGATGGGGGAGTGGAACGGAGGAAAATAACACAAAAGGGAAGGAGGGGGGCAAAAATAACTGAGATACTCAGACTTAAGTAAAGCTGAGGGTCTGGTTTTGAGAGGTAGGGATGTCTAAAAGTGATGGCTTCTCTGACTTGTAGAGCACTATTTTGGACAATCTGTAAGACTGGGTAGAATCAAAATAACATATGGCACAGCCCTAAGATATTTCTTCTTCTTTGTATTTGTGAGCGGTGACGCAGACTTACATACAGCTTTCAATCAAGTTCATATTTCTACTCAGTCCTGATGAATCTTTGTCAAAGGATGAGAGAACATTCCTCAAGCACTAACGTGTGCAGAGGTCATCTGCTACTGCTGGTGGACATCCTAGGTGTGAGACTGTAACAACGTGATACTCCCACTGCTGGCTGAAGATGAGGATAATGCACAGTGATGCACACTTGTGCATGCTCTGCAACCTCATAGTGGAGCTGTCAACACAAATACATGTTCAGGGCAAAAGTTAAGGCTGTTATTAAGTCTGTACTGAAACCAGAGGCTGTGTGTAAATAATAGCTGTCCTGACCTAATGTTTTCCTGTGCAACAATAAAGTCAAATGAAAAAGATAACAATATTAGCCCTGATGAGAAAACACACTCAGATGCAGTTGAAGGAATGTTATATGTCAGCATCTGTTCCATTAAAGAGAAGGCATCTGAGCAGATAGCCTAAAGGAAAAGAGAGCAGAGAAATAAAATCTCCATAAAGTCCTGGTCTTGCAGGACTGCATGGGATGCATTTATTAAATTAAGCTTGGGGATTCTTAAATACATTTATTTTTTTATTTTAAAAATATTTAATGCTAGTGATACCACTATGTTGATTTCTTTATCTTTTGAAATTTTACTGAACTGAAAAGGGAATAAAGATAAGTTTTTATTTTCACTGTTCGGATAATAAATGAAAAAATTATTAAGAAATCATAACAGTTGTGCTTCGCAAAGCCTGAAGTTTTGACTGTCATATTTTTAACATCATAAAATTCATTTGAATTAAATTCCACTGTTTCTTGATTAAATGACTGGAATTGCAATTATTTGTTGATGTATTTCTTTTCTTCTTTCTTTCTTTTTTGTTTGCAGAATTAATTACATCTAGACAAGTGAACATCAATCTTCAAGGTGATTAGAAAGAAAAAAACAGTGTTGTGGTTATTAGCCAACAAATAATGTGTAAGCTTTGCTTACTTTTTGGATTCATCAATAAAATTCGTAAACATGGAAATATTTACCGATTTATTACGTAATTAGGATATCTGTGGATATCCTTGGGGCACCACCCCTTTAATAGGGGTAAAATAAATCCAAACCTCTATCAATCTGTCTAAAGTTCGTAAAATTCTTTTAACAAGCAGCAGTCCTATTCTATCCACACAAACAAATTCTCTTGAGACAAAACTTAATTGGCAATAACATTTATTGACTAATATTATCACCTTAGCTCCTTCAAAGTATTAGCCAATCAACATCAACCAACTGATTTTATCAAAACAAACAACAAGCAATGAAACCATGGAATGATAATGTGGAGTAACAATCTAATCAGACCGGTGGGGTGAAATGGTAATGTGATCCAGCAGAGATAGCTGATTATCAAACTGGAGGGAATTTGAAAACAAAATGGCGGATCCTTTGTTTGGCTGACCAAAGGATTGACTGTGTGTGTGGAGTTCACAGTAAACTTAATCAAAACACTTCAAATCGCTTCACAAAGATCAAGAAAAAAACAACAGATCAGTCATAAAGGCAAATCACATATCTAACAGTCTGTCAGCCTGGCCACAGCATAAACAAACTTAGATATTAAACAATGAAAGAAACGGCTTACTCTGCAATGATCCGTTGGCGTTTTTGGTACGGAGGAGAGAAAACCGTTTGTTATTTTAAAGCGGTCACGTGGTCGACCGCTTGTTTCGGACTATTAAAGAAACGGGAGAGAAAGAGAGAGAGGAAAAAGGAAAAAAATATATCTTGAACGAATTAACACAAGGTGTCCCTCTGTGTTCGAGCTGAGCAGATCAGATGGCCTTGATCGGTCGATCTCAGCAGCTAGGTCTCGTGCACGCTCTGTCCGGAGCGGTATGAAGCAGAGGCGAAGGTCTCCTTACTCCAGATGACTGGACGGAAGAGAAATAGTTCTGCTCTGCGCTTCAGCTTTATAGACGTCCAGCGGGCGGTCTCTGTAGCGGCCTGGCAGACTTGGCGTCGCTTGATGACATCATCAAGCTGCTGCCGGCTGCCGAGGATCATGGGACATGGAGTCCCTGCTGGCGCTGATATCAATATGCCTATTGTCTACATTTCAGGGTGTAGATGGCATAGTCCTTTGGAGAAAATACTGCATAGTAATTTTCTCATGAGGGCAGAACCCCAACAACAGTCAATCATCAAAATGAAGAAGCTAATTTAAAAATAAAACAGAGAAGTGCGGCTTGTTTTTATCAAGATTATTGCTGATTATTTTTTCCAGTCCTTTCTCAATATAACTGGATTTCTTATTGAACCGATGTTGCAGTTTTATAGCAAATATAGTCAGAAAAAATATTGCAAGTTGCAGCAATCATTTTAAAAATGCAAGATTTCTTTTTAAGTTGGTGCAGCTGAACAATTTTCAGTGAAAAGAAAAAGCGAGTCATCAGATGTCAGCACCATGCCCACAGCACTGTTCCTGCCTACCTCGTACAGCTCTATCATGATGTTGTCCTCCGGCCCTCCGCTGCTCACAACATCCTCCAGCATGAGCGTGAAGAACAGTCCTCTGTGCTCAGACGTGTACAGGTTGTACGAATCGTTCTGGTGCCAGTCCTGAATCGCTGCCACCACCTGGTTATCATCTGTGCTGATTATCTGCAAGTCCTAAATATAGCAAATATGTGAAGGAATTCTTTTGAGTGGATTAGTCGTCTACCAATATGATTCTGATGACTGAAGAAGAAAATAACTGTGAATCTGCATAGCAGGGTCAGGTGTGCAAACAGCAGAGCCACACAGGCGATTCAGTAATTTTTTACTCCTTGACATCTATCAGCAATATCTAAGGTGGTGCGTGGTTTTGGTACTAAAAGTGAAGCTGGATTTAGTTTGGTTTAGTTGAGTTTTTTATTTTTATTTTAAAGGAGAGCGTTATTCATTTAATCATTACATTTGCAGTGGTTTCTAGTAGGAATAAATGCCTTGCAGGCTGTGCTCAGGGCACCAAAAAGCCCACAAACATCTGGCTAAGCACGGCCAAATCTGCGACATCACAGCTGTGCTTCAGACGGCAGGTTTTGGAGTCTTATTTCCTGATATTTTGGCATCTCGCCCAAGATTGGATAACAGCAATGCAACTTCACAAATAACAAGTCTGGAGGTGCATCTGCCGTGAGGTGAAATTTCTAATGCCATCGGTTAGCTTAAACTAGCCAAGACATCCTCTGTTGATTATCGGACGCTAAAACAACAACAGTCTTCCACGTCGTGAGTCAAGATCAGTGAAACCATGAATGTTAAGTGACAGTGTGAGATAGATCTGTGAGGACTTTCAAATCCTAGAGTTTCACCATTAGAAGCTAATGCAGGAGATAAGTGTGGCAGACTATTTTCATGTTTAGCCTGCATGAAAAACTCAGAGTGACTGATTATAATCAGAAAAAAAAACATTTAAATATGTTTTTTTTGTCAACCACACCTTTAAGAGAAACACAATTTGCTACATGTGTCCTCTGTGCCCAGAGATATTTCCCCCGACATGCATGGATGGCTGGATGGATGGACACTTAAGCAGATTTATTGAAACAAAACTGCAGGCATCAAAGCTCTACTCTGGTTTGACACTGACTCTCAGACAAGCAATCCTTCTGTGCATATGTTAAATTGAAATAAGTGCAGGTTTGGTGCAAAAGAACATCATTTTTGTTCCCACCAGAAAACGTTCATTGGACTTGTGGTGAAACTGAATTCCTGTTGAACATCTAAGGAACTATGTGCCGGTCTTTAAAAAAAAACAGAGCTCCAAGGTCATAACCATGCATGCATGAATTCATTTCAGTGGAATCTTAGTGTGAAAATAATAAATTATATTAAAATATTTTTTTGAAACATTTGTCAACAAGCACTGGAGGCAATGCCAAAATTATTAGAAAAGGAAGAAAGTGAAAACGCTCCATTACCTTGGGAAGAGTGTATTTGGGAAGTTTCATCGGGTAGAAAGCGCTTCTTTTATAGGACACATAGTGAGCAGACTGTCCACCCACTGACACCTTTAACAGAAATACAAGAGAATTACCACACACACACACACACACACACACACACACACACACACACACACACACACACACACACACACACACACACACACACACACACACACACACACACACACACACATTACTGTTAGCCTGAGTTAAAAAACATTCTAACCACCATAAAAACCTTGAGTTTGCTTCTAATTATGATGCTGTGAATTGTATCGAGGTGTAGTTGTGCTCATAAAAAAAAGGAGCGGTTTTATTCCTGCCCCCTCCTTCCTCGCCATAATGGCTCCCTTCAGTTAATGGAAAACACGACTGTACATTAAGATGCGGCTGATCGCACTGATTTTACAGCTTTTAATCGTCTTTTAATGAAGCCAGACCTTGCAGTTTAAGACCCACCTGGATAAAAACGTACTCGTCCTGGACCACCAGGGAGTTGGGGATTATAAATCCGGGGAAAGGCTTGCCCTTGTTTCCGTCGGAGCAGTTTTGAAGTTTGCAAGTTATGTACTGTGACCCTGTGGGTAAGCAAGAAATTAGATCTAAAACTACGACAAAGACAGAAAGAAGCAACCCTCTGCAGTCTACAGTCAAGGTTTCTAATGTGCTTGTGGTAATAAGTGAGGCAAAATATTGGAGGTCAGTTCTCCTTTTGACTCATTTAGATGAAGTAGGGAGAGGCGTCCCGGTGTGTTAGCGTCAGCCAAATGAAGCAGTCTCTCCAGGGATGGGATATTAACATGCAAGGCCCCGTGAAGCTCCCACCAACAGCCACCCCTCTCTCTGAATCACAGCCCAGTAAAGAGCCAAGTCACCTCAGGAGATTATAATAACTTAATCACTTGAAGAGTCTCCATACAGCCACTTTGGGTGCAGGTTTTTGTTTGGATACCAATCGTTCATTATTGAGTCCATTGCAAATGAGTTACAGTAAATATTACTTGTTTGACCAGGAGTCTGAGATATTTACATTTATTGTATGACTCACGTTTATCCGAGATGCTGATTTCCAGGTGAATCATCCCTTGTTCTTTGTCCAAACCGAGTCTGGACCTGAAACAATGAGAGAAGTATCTAGGAAGTATTAGATCTCTGCCAATGCAGGACACTATTACTAGCTGTTTTATGACATCGTAAAAGGTTTTCTTTATTATGATCATATTTTAGATGTCCTCAGAAATCGTATTTGGGTTAAAGTTCTTCCAGTTATTTGATATGAGAAAAAAATCAATCTTTCTTTCAGGTGTGGAGTAATATGGGTGAGAAAACGTATAAAACAGTAAAACTTCTCTAAAAATACTTGGTTTTACTAATCGGTGGATGTAAGAGTAATTTTTAAGGTCAGCTTTA